GCATTCCTGGAAGTTCATTATACCATTTTTTTCTTTCTGCTTTTTTTTTTTTTTTCCTGGTATATTTAAAGATCTCCTTAATGAAGAGTTTTGGTGTTGCTTTTTATTTCTTTATTTTTTTAAGCAATAAGAAATACTGCTTCTCTTGGCACTAATTCAGAAAAATCAGGAATCCTCTTTGGTCTGCTTGAAAACTTGGTTGCTAGGACAGCAGGCAAAAGAAGAAAAGCAGACTTTAGTTGATGCGTAGAGACAGGGAACAGAATGGTGGTGGCCGGGCCTAGGGCCTACGGAACTGCTTCCTGGGGACGAAGTTTCAGTTTTGCAAGATGTTCTGGAGATTGGTTACACAACAGTGTGAATGTATTTAATACTGCAGAGCTGTGCGGTCAAAATGGTTAAAATGGGAAATTTTAGGTTCTATGCGTTTTACCACTCCCTTCCCCCAAAATCGTTTTAAACAAAAAAGGAAAGCAGTAGAAAGAACTCGAACTGGGGGTGTCCTGCTGAGGCTGGCAGGGTCAGCAGTGTCTTGTCACCATCGCCCAGTCTGTGGTTAAGAGTTGAGGCCACTTGGCTAACCTCATGGTCATCTGTCCATCATCAGTGTGACCTGCCAGGAGCACCCCATGTGCCAGACCTGGGGGTGGTAGGAAGACTGGGCCACTGGCTATGTGAGGCTGTGTAAGGCCTTCCTCATGACTCATGTGTCTGTGCCTGGTCCCCAAGAGCCAGGCTGAGCCCTGTGATAGCTTAGGATGTTTTTTTAATAGCACAGGTATGATGATAGTGTTATAGGGACCAAGCCAAAAGAGTGGGGTCCTTTGCCCTGTAGGGAAAGAATTTATCAGAGAATGCTAGGTGTAGCTGAACCACACAAGGCTTTACCAGAGACTCACAAAAGAGAGTACAAGTGCTAGAATGGAGACTTTAGCCTTGCTTCTGGAAGGGCGTTAGGAGCTATTTAAAGGGTAGGTCCATGAGGCGGAGAGCAGATAAGTAGGGTCATAGCTTGCTCTGGATTGTGCAGAAGGGCTATACTCCAGCTGTGCGTGACGGTTTGAGCCTTCTCCTTCCAGGAAGTTGTGAGGTAATCCTAACACTTTGTGTCTAGCATGGCGCCTTACCATCATTGTGGCAGGCAAATTGTTTGGACAGGATGTTGAGACAGAATTCCCAGTCGCTGATTTAGTCCGCCCATTTCAAACAAGACTCGGGGCCGCTCTTATCCTAACGTCTGGCAATTTCCTTTACCTGGGCTGTCTCCATAGAGCTCCCTCTCTTCACACTGAGAACAGTTAGGAGCATCAAAATGAAAAATCAGAGGTGAGTGATAGAATTGCTAAAAGTTCTTTTCAACCCTAGTCGTAGTAACGTATTCAGGAAAGGATTGTCATGGGTCCAAACCACTGAGGTTATTGGGAAACAGGAAATGCCCAGCCTCATGACGTCACCTAACATATCCCTTACTAATTTCATGGAAAAATGGTTCCTTTAAATGGAGAGGCCTGGTGTCACCCCCTTAATCAAATGATGAAGCATGTCACTGTTGCTGGGCCAGACTGCTGTTCTCTGACCCCTGGTAAGGACAGACTATGACCTGGTGAGGACAGAGCAGACCCGGAGCAGTGTCCTTGTCCACACTGGTCACGAGGAAGCCATCAGGCAGCCCAGAGTATGGGACATTCTAAGAGGCCGTGTTCATCCAGAGTCACTGATGAAAAACTAAGAAAGGGGGGGACTAAAGAGATGCAACAGTCCCCTAATATGAAGTTTGTTCGACCCTGGATCCAAAAATATAAAGGTTATAAAAGGCATGTTGTGGACCTTTGGGGAATGTCAAATGTAGCCTGAATGTCAGGAAAAGTTATTGCTGTCATGCTGATGTTAAGATTGCTGATAGTGCTGAGTATGTAGGAAAATGACAGCCCCCAGGATGGATGCTGAAGGGTCTGGGGTGGCAGGTCATGTCTGTAACTTAATTGAAAATGATTTGGTAAAACCAGTATACACACACATACACAGAGAGAGAGAGAGAGAAAGAGACAGAGAGAGTGCATGTGGCTTGGTCAGCAATTGGAGAATCTGGGTGAAGGGTCATCTGACTTCCTGGTTCTGTCTTTTCTGTGGATTTGAAAATTTTCCAAAGAGAAAGTACATCAGCAATCCAAGAGTGTCTGTTGCTCTGGTCTGAGTTGGAACAGCCTGGGGACTCACGTCCTCGCCTCCCAGGCAAACGCCTGCAGCCTTCCAGGCATCTGGTGTCTGTGCAGCTTGTCGATAGGAGCCTGCAGCTGAGTGGTGGTGGCAGGGCAGCAGCCGCTGCAATGCAGGGGACAGAGGCCTACTACCACTTGCTCACGGCCGTGGACAAGGGGAGGGAATGTCAGCCAGGCGCTGGGCATGTGTAGCACCAGGGAACTCATAAAATATTTTCTGGCTGGAAAGGCATTGTGCTGGGGGACAGTCAGTAAGCAGGGTCAGCTGGCCAGCAGTTAAGAGCAGTATCAGAGGTTACTCCAAGGTGGGGAAGCTCAGCTTTTTCTCCTCCTCTAGGGATCTGGATCGGTCAGGACCTTCGTGGGTGGGTCCAGGGTGGGTCCTGCATGAATAAAAGCCCAGTGCGCCACTGCTCCTGAGCTCCTTTCTGTATGCTGGGCACTTAGCAGCTTCCATCCCACTGGCCGTTGCATCTGCATGGGGCATGTACCTAGGAAGGAGAGGGACGCCATGGGCTTGAGTGCTGTTGGGTGCAGGACCAGTGCCTGGAAGAGTCTCACCCTGCCTGCCTGGCTCTCGTTGACAGGGTGGTGGATCCCCCAAAAGCCGCCCAAGTGTGGGGGACAGGTGAATTCACATAATCCGTGGCACATTCCATTTGGGGTCATTCTCTTGGACCTGGTAGCTGCAGCAAAGGCAGAGTTCTGAAAGGTCTGGAAGCCGTCTGCCTGTGAGCAGTGTCCTGGTGACATGCAGGGGCCTCTGAACGGAGCTCTGGGGGACACTTGATGTGGTGGTGAGGGCCCTGTACTCACAGCTGGAGGAGGGGTTGGGGCAGCACATGGCTGGATCCTGTGCTGCAGGTGGAGGACCTCAGAGGCCAGCCAGCCTGGTCATCCAGGTCCCTGCCCAGAATCCCCAGCCATCCAAAAGGGTCTTCCCCCATGGGCAGCACTGACCTTGCCTTTACCTACTGGGGTTGCCTGTGCATGCAAGACAAGGGAAGGTGTGCCCTTTGGAGGCAGGGCCAGGCCGGGCTGAATTCTTGCAAGTAGGGTTCCGGAAGGAGACCAGTCTGGGGCAACTCTAAGCTGCAGGTAACCTGCTGGCAGTAGTCTCCACTGCATTCCTGCCATCCAATCTGCCAGCCTTATGTCTGGCATCTTTGCCCAACTGGTGTGGTGGACTCTGGTCAAGTTCACCAAGGAGGAGAAGTGAAGCTGGCTTCTCAAAGTCCATGTCTTTTCTCCGTGACAGCTTTACAGGCTTGCTGAGGAATGTGTTGGAGCTGCTCTAGGGCAGCCTGGAGTGGTTCCCTTCTTACCTCTCCCCAGAGTGTGGAAGTCTGCTGAGAACTGAGTCAAAGGCATGTAGCCCTGCACGGGTGTGTGAGCACCCTGTCTGTGTCTGGCCTCTCCTGACCCTCACTCATCAGCTGGACCAGGCTGGACATGGAGGCCAGGGCTTGTAGTCTCGTTTAAAAGTGGTGTGGGTGGATTGTGATCCAGGAAGGTTTGCAGTGGTCAAGGACTTGGAAAGTGATGATCAGAGGAGATTGGCAGCGGGAAAGAAGGATGGGGAGGGTTCTCCAGAGTGAGCAGAGCTGAGGCTTAGAGGCCCCCTTGCAGAACCTTCCCCAGTAGAGACTGCCACATCCCACCCACAGCCAGCCCTGGGCCTGGACCCCCAGTGAGCCTGGCCACTGAGCCATCACTCAGAGGTGACGGCCAAGGACTCAGAGGTCAATGACTTGGTTCCTTGACGTTTGACTGGCATAATCCCAGGTTCAGGGTTTATATGGGGTCTCAGAATTCCTCATGAGATTAAGATCCAGTGTCCCACAGAGGTGCCACACTTGATAATATGGCCTTTTGGGCTCTCCGCCATTTCTTTCTTTTTTTTTTTAAAGGTTGATTTATTTATGCATGTGAGAGCTGGGGTACAGGCCAGAGATGTGGGGTCGTGAGAGGATCCACCAGAGACAGAGTGGGGAGCAGAACAGGCAGACTGACTGAAATACACTGCTGAGGGGAGCAGTGGGCAAGACAGGAGAGGTCTGCTGCACCATGTGGGTTTCTCTCTGGCTGGCCGGGGATGGAATTCGTGCTGCAGAGACTGCGGATTGCTTCATAGTGTGGTGCTTAATCCCTTGTGCCACCAAGGAACCTACTCTTCGCCATTTCTTGTCTCCTCCTGTTCCCATACCCATCTTTCCTAGGCTCCCTTCCACACATACTGTTTCTGAGGGACCCAAACTAATAACTAACAAACAGGGTTTAAACTCAACATTGAAGACATCGTGGGTAAGGGGTTGGGGATGACATATTTTCCCATGTCTGGAGGAACAGGGTTAGAGCTGCAAGTTCATTCTCGTTGTGGCCTGACCCCCTGGCCAGTCCTAAGGCTGAATGAGTGCCGATGCAGAGAGGATCCACCTTATCCCCTGAGCCCTTGCTGCCCTGGCTAAACCCCTTTGAGCACCTTTTGTGTCCACTGCTAGGCCAAACATTTGAGGTGTTTTTTTCTTGCTGAACTGAACACAAAGCTTGGGAGGCATAGGTTCCATTTTACAGGTGAGGCACCTGAGGCACAGAGAGCTGAGACACCTGTGCCTGATCACACAGCTGGAGCCCAGGTGTGACAGATCGGAATGGGCGCTCTTACTTCCCAGCTTCCGGTCATTCGTATTCCCTCCAGCGCCTGCCAGACACTTGGAGGTGGGCCTTCCCTGCCTGGGTCAGGCAAGGACTGTCTTCCAGTAACCTCTGCTTGTCCTGCAGGTAAGTTCGAGGATCGGGAAGACCATGTGCCCAAGCTGGAGCAGATCAACAGCACGAGGATCCTGAGCAGCCAGAACTTCACCCTAACCAAGCAGGAGCTGCTGGGCACGGAGTTGCTGCTCCTGGAGGCCTTCTGCTGGAATCTCTGCCTGCCTACCCCTGCCCACTTCCTTGACTACTACCTCTTGGCCTCTGTCAGTGAGAAGGACCACCACTGCCATAGCTGGCCCACCATCTGCCCCCGCAAGACCAAAGAATGCCTCAAGGAGTATGCCCACTACTTCCTCGAGGTCACCCTGCAAGGTGGGGCCCCATGTCAGTACCGTCACACCATGTGTGCATCCAGGCCCATCCACCCAAATCCCTCCCACTTGGCAGAGCAGAGGATGAGTGAAGAAGGTGCAAGGACTTACCTACCATGTTATCAGTAAAATGTTATTAGGTGACTGGTACCCTACAAACTTAGAGGTCACCTGGTGATTGTCCTTATGGTAACCTGAAATATTACAGATTCTCTAAATAGTCCATATTTGCAGTAGGTGATTCCAGAAGAACTATCATCATACATAATAGTTTTATACCTACTCTAGCTATAAAGTTACCCTGTTTGATTCTCATTCTTCCCAGTGTCTTAAAAACCTAAGTATTAAGTAAAATACTTGGTCAGAAACATTGTTGATGCTACTACCTGATAACCTGGCACAAACTCTGATAACAATAGCAGCTGCTGTGATATCTAACTTTAATTGACTGCTTATCGTGTGCAAGGCACTTTATTTTAGGGATTTGTGTGCATTGTCTCATTGGAACCCCACAACAACTCTATGAAAATCATTTCTGATATTCTCATTTTACAAATCAATTTCCGTCATTGTTGCCCAAGAGGTCATTGACCCCAACTCATTGCTAGGATTTGAAACGGGGGCGTCTTCTCTCCTTAACCACACCTATAATTATAGCCACACCCTGCCTGATTCATACTTTAAAGGCAGACATTAAAGAAATTGGAAATCATGAACCATTTAAGATCATGTAATAACATACTGATAACCAAGTGTCATTTGTGAAAATTGCAGGAACCGCCAGTGTGCCCCACTCCATGAGTTAGTAACCACTTAGTAGGACATAAGATTTCCCAGATCATTTCACCAGTGTACATGTTCCAAAACACCCCATTTTATACCTTTTTTGTCACTCATACTTTAATAAGTGGGGTGGAGGGACGATTCCTCAGTAAACCTAAGGAAGGTCCAGTTTTAGTTACGAATATCACACTCTCAGAGCCATTCATTCATTCCACAGATTTTTACTGAGTGCCTATTGTGGGCCAGGCTTTGTTACTGTTAATAAGTAGCCTCTAGTTCAGGAACCTTTGAAGTGAAGAGTCATTCACCTCAAAGACCAAAGAAAAGGAAGACGTTCCCTAGTAGCCCGTCAGTGAGCCCCTCGTAGTCCCCTAGATGGACCAGATTTTGAAAATCACTGCTCTAGTCTGACATCAGAAAGCCCAGACTGAGAGCTAAAGTGCTTCAAATGCAAGAATGGGGCTTTGTGTGTGTGTGTGTGTGTGTGTGTGTGTGTGTGTGTATGCACATGTGCACAGTGAACAGCCTCTGACGTCATTTCTTTCTGTTCTCGGCCACAAGCAGGTGAAGGGGTGCCCAGTGCCTCCAGCGTGCGGGGAGGCTTTATGATGCTGACTCCCTGTGCTTCTCTGGCAGATCATATCTTCTACAAATTCCAGCCCTCCGTGGTGGCTGCAGCCTGCGTTGGGGCCGCTAGGATTTGCCTTCAGCTTTCTCCCTACTGGACCAGAGACCTGCAGAGGATCTCCAACTACTCCCTGGAGCATCTCAGCACATGCCTGGAAATCCTGCTGGTGTCAGTGCCCCTGTGGTCCTTCCGAGCTTCGGAAATTACGAGGTTCCACTGGCTCTTGAGACCCACCCCAGGCTATTTCCTCAAGTCTTGGGCTTCTGGTGGTTGTCCCAGCTAGTGTCTCATGTCAAATGGGCCACGGTGACACCTGGTAGAACTGGGGCTTGGGGAGTTGGTCCTTCCTGTTTGGGGGTAGCTGTGGGCTTGCATTCACCATCAGAGAGTAGGGGAGAGGAGGACCAGTGCGCACAGCTTCCTAAATGCCTGGGCCCTCCATTTGGGTGCGGGTTATCAGCCCTCTTAGGGTGATGACTGATGACTCTCATTAGGATGTGGCCACCAAACTGACCTCATAGCCATATGAGCCCGGGATGGCTTAACAGTAGAGGCCTTTCCCTGGTGGCGCAGGCGGTTGAGAGCAATGCTGTGAAGCTGTCCGCAGCCTCTGCAGCACCGGTTCGATCCCCACCGGCTGTGTAGATACCCACATGGCGCGGCAGACCTCTCCTGTCTTGGGCTGCTCCCCTCAGCAGTTTATTTTGTCATTCTGCTTGTTCTGTTCCCTGCTCTGTCTCTGGTGCTGGTGAATCCTTTCACCCTCCCACACATCTGGCCTGTTCCCCGGTTCTTATGCAAAGAAATAAATCTTTAAAAAAAAATAACAAAAAAAACAGTAGAGGTCTCTGTGGCCTTGCAGATGCCCTTGTGATTACCGGGGAGAAGGTGTTTAATGTTTCTGAGACACAGAAAGGCACTCTGGGCCTTGAGGAAAGGAAACTGCTGGGAACACAGCCTCAGAGAGATCCTGCCTAGCTATGCCCAGACCCTCTCCCACCTGACAGATGGTGGCATCACCCGATGCCCATCCCACTGATCACTGGCAAGCCCCTGATGGGAGAACCTTTGCTCAGCAGGCAAGGTTACTGTCTATCTCATTCCTCTAAAATGCCAGTCCTCTCCTGGGACCTGGTATTAAAATATGCCCTTTTAGAAGGTGCCCAGAGCCAGGGGATGCCTGGTATGAGTGCTGAACGGGCCCTGGGTCTGCCAGCCCCACCTCTTCTCTGTGCTGGGCACTCTGTGGTGGCTCACTGCTCAGATCTGCTGCAGCCTTATCTGCTCCTTTCTTACATAAATGTCTTTAATTCTTTTTTTTTTTTTAAGATTTATTTATTTATTTATACAAGCACTGGGTACAGTCAGAAGCGCGGGAGGGTGAGAGGATTCACCAGAGCCAGAGCAGGGAACAGAACAGGCAGACTGACGAAATACACTGCTGAGGGGAGCAGCGGGCTGCAGGAGAGGTCTGTCGCACCATGTGGGACCCTCGCCGGCGGCCAGGGATCGAACAGGTGCTGCAGAGGCTGCGGTTAGCTTCGCAGTCCAGCGTTTAATCTCTGCGCCACCAGGGGAGGCCCAAATCTCTTTAATTCTTTCCAAGAATTTTTATCCTGGGAAATCTTTTTTTTTTTTCCCCTCAAAAAACTTAATCCATCCCCTTTTCAGATAGAGAAAAATAGACCCTAGAAGGCAGCTTGCTTGGGGTCTGTTAGTTCATGAGTGCCTTGAGGACACAGGTGGTGGCCACCCTTACCTGTCAATGCCAGGTGCAGTGCCAGGCATGGGGAGCAGTGTCAGACATGGGGAGCAGTGTCAGATGAGGGGAGCAGTGAACCAAAACTTACAGAGTCATCCCTCCTGGAGCTTGCACTCACCCCCGGGTTTAGGTAGTGACCTGGAAGTTACTTTCAGGGGTGTTGACTGCTGGGATGGGGCAGTGACATGGCATTTGGAACATAGGCTGGTCTTGAGAAGTCAGAAGTGGTTTTTTGGGGAGAGCAGATTGAAGCTGAGCTCAGAGACCTATATGTAGGTAGAGAGCAGCTGAAGCGACAGGCACGGCCCAGCAACATAGCACAGATCTCCTGGGGGGTCACACTTAGCCAGGCAGGTAGAGGTGCTCACAGTGTCTGGCACTGTGGCCTTTGACCTCCAAGTCTCACACACGCCCTTTCCTTTCAGAGCATATGACAACATCCTCAAGGACGCCGTTGCTGTCAAGAGCCAGGCCCTGGCGATGGTTTCTGGCAACTCCTCCACCCCCACACAGGTGCTTTTCCAGCCGCCCGCCTATCCGGCCCTCAGCCAGCCAGCGACCCCGGCCCTGCCTCCGTTCCAGACCCCGGTGCAGGACCTGTGCCTGGCCTATCGGGACTCGCTGCAGGTCCACCGTCCTGGGAGCCTGCTCTCGGGGGGGCCTGGCTCATCCCTCCCCACCCCGTACCCGGCCCTCCAGCCCCTGGACCTCTGTCCCCTACGCCTCCCCACATCCCTCGGCATGCAGATGGCCATCACAGCCGAACCCAGGCACTGCCTGTCCACCACCTACGGAAGCAGCTACTTCAGCAGCAGCCACACATTTCCCACGGGCTGTTTCGACAGATAGGCCGGCCACCTTTGGGCCTGCAGAAGGCCTGGGACCCAGGCAGAAGGGGGACCCAATGGAGCTGGGGTCCCCGCAGAGCCTTACTATCCTTGGATGGAGAAGATTCACGTTCTTTTTAAGTAGAACTGACCCAGAGCAAAATAGTCAGTTATATACCTCACCCAAGAACATCCTCCAGGAAGTGTCGTCCTTGGACATCCTCCACTTACTGCCTGGAGACCAGAGGGTGGCTCGGTGCCACTCCCTGGAGCAGGGTCCCAGAGAATACAGCAAGACCTGGTAAGAAGCCAGGCAGGGAGACTGGGAGCCATACCAGCCCCCTGATGTTCAGCATGTCTGGTTTCTTTATTCTTTTGCCGATGGCGAAAACACCTCTGGGAAGGAGGGGCAGCCTGCGTGCGCTCTGCCCCAGTGGCTGCCCTTCTTCCTATGACCTGTGTGTGATGCCTCAGACTCAGTCTCGCCATGGTTGTCCAGCTAAAAACCTTACTCAACCTTTTCGCGCGCTCATATGCTGCTGCTCCCCAAAGTAACCTAGCTTTCTGCTCAGTAAGATGTCTTGTTTACATGCCACATCAGGGACTTGGCGATACTTGAAAAATCTTAGGAGAAAGAAAAAATACAGCATGGTCACACAGCCCGTCTCCCGCGAGGGCTATTAGGTTAACCCTGCTGGTGGCTGACCTATGGGAACAGCGAGCTTCCTCTGCAAAAGCCTGTAGTTGGGAGACATATTTTCCAGGCTCTCAGTTCCAGAAGTTTCCACATCTTGAATGCTGTGTTCACCTGCGGAACTTCAATAACCAGGCCGAGGATAAAAGTTGTTGCTAGACAGAGGCTTACAACCCACAACCCCCATCTCCCTCTACCAGGCAGCCAGGGAGTGGGGTACAGTCCAGCCTCTGCTTCAGTTTGGGCCACTGACAAATGATGGTGTGGAATCCTTGCTCCAGGCCAGCTGGATTTGGAGTATAGGGTTGTGCGTGGGTCTGTGAATTCACTGACAGCAAGCAATCGGTTGGATTGAAAGCCAGTATTGGGGTCCCTGCAGCAAGAGGGCTCTCAGGAAGACTCTGGGAACCATGTGCAATATGTGTTAATTCTGTCTCTTGGCTTGTGCTCAGTGTGGGTTTTTTTGGGGGGTGGGGTTGGTTCAGAGTTGGGGAGACACCCGTCAGAATTGGGAGGTGCAAAGAACTACAGAAGAATTTTTTGTTTGTTTTTAAGGAAAACCAAGGTTGGTTTTCCTGATTCATTTGCCAGTCCCAAGGTTGGGAGTGGGAGCGGGGGCAGCCAGTGGCTGCTGAGTAGGATCCGAGGCTGATTTTCTTCACAGCTGAAGCCCCAGCGTGGGAACGGGAGATGGAAGAGCCTGGATGGGAAGCAGGCTCTGCCACTTGGTTACGTTAGCATAGGAACCTGCACACCGGTTTGTTGTTTTTCTTTTTTCCTTTGCCAGCCTCCTTCTATTTATGTGCAACTGGTTTGGATTCCAAGTTACTGTATCTTTCTCTTTGGGGACTAAAGGTTGATTGAGCCTCACAGAAAAGTGCGTCCCCACAATAAACACGTCACCTGCTCATGGTCTCTGTTATTTTCCTGGGTTTCTCTCCCCACCTCCTCCCCCCTCTCCCAAGTCAGCCCTGGTGGCCTCTCCGCTCGGAGCTCGGCCTCCTTGGAGACACGGACTGGGCAGCTGGAGTGAGTGAGTGTTGACATCCCACCTCTTGCAAAAAACCAAAGCAGATGTACGTGAGGGAGATTAATTTTCAGGTATTGGCTCATGCGAGTATGGGGGCTGGCAAGTTAGCGATTTGTAGGGCAAGCCAGCCGGCTGGAAATTCAGGTAAGTGTTGATGTTGCAGGTGAATCCAAGCCTGTCAGACAAGTTGGAAATTCAGAAGGATTTCTAGGTTACAGTCTTGGAGGCGAATTCTTTCTCCAAGAAACTTCAAAGGGCCTTCAACTGATTGCACAAGTCCTGCCCACTTGGTGGAGGGCCTTCTCCTGTACCTTAGCCTCCTGATTGTCAATCTGGTGTAGCCCTTGTCATGCTGTCATTTCCTTCCCCTTTTTCTCATAGCTGTCCAGCATCTGAAACAAGCTTGCTGCTTGGCTTACTTGGGTTGATGGCTGTGGCCTCAGGCCCCTCACCCAAGCAAGGATAACTTCTGGTCTCAGTGGCCCCAGTCAGAACAGCGGCGTGGATGAGCATTTGTCGGGTGCACAGCACCATGCTAAGGAATCTGCTTGTCGTATTTCTTAGAATCATCCCAGTAACTGGGGCCTCCCTGGTGGCGCACAGGCTTAAGACGCAGCACTGTGAAGCTACCCAAAGCCACTGCATCACAAATTCAATCCCTGGGCAGAGAGGTGACCCACACACATGGCGCAGCAGACCTCTCCTGACTCGCCCGCTGCTCCCCTCAGCAGTGTATTTCAGTCAGTCTGCCTGTTCTGTTCCCAACTCTGGTGAATCCTCTCACCCCCTATACCTCTGGCCTGTACCCCAGCTCTTGTATGCATAAATAAATCTTTAAAAAAAAAAATCCTAGTACTGCCAGGTAGAGGTTACCATGAGCTGTATTCTACAGACTGGAAATTGGGGAGCATGGAGAAATTTGTCTAGGGACAGCAAGAACGGGCCTGAAGCTGCCCTACACCCTGTAGCATCTTTTCACCCCTTTGACTTCTCTCCCTGCCTCCAGAATCCTCACTTCTTTAATAGTGTCTGCTAGTTTATATAACTTTTACCTTGCCAAATCATCCACGTTGTAAACATCTGATACATATCTGTCATTCTGACTTGCTTTGCTTTTTTAAAGATTTACTTACATGGGCCTCCCCCAGTGGCGCAGCAGTTGAGCGCTGGCTTGTGAGGCTGCCCGCAGCCTCTGCAGCACCAGCTCGATCCCCGGCCACCTGTGAGGGTCCCACAAAAAAAAAAAAAAAAAAAAAAAAAACCATCCAGATTTACTTATGCATAGAACTGAAATGTAGGTCAGTGGTGCAGGGGGTGAGAGAATTCAGAGACAGGGCAGGGAGCAGAACAGGCAGATCTACTGAAATACACCGGTGGGGGGAACAATGGGCGAGACAGGAGAGGTCTGCTGCGCCATGTGGGTTAGTTCCCTGGCCCAGGATCAAACTCAGGCCGCAGTGGCTGGCGATAGCTTGATAGTGCTGAGACTTTAATCCCTGTGCCACCAGGGAGGCCCCTCTTCTTTTTTTTTTTAAGCTTTGAATTTTATTAAAGGCTCTTTAGGGGGTAACAGCACAGACTATGGAAAGTCTTCCTGGTCATGTGAAATCCAATTCTGTAATTCAATCTGAGTGTTCTGAGACTTTAGACCAAATTGAGTTTGAAGCTCAAATTGTCAGCATCTGCAGCCCCTTTTTTTCTTTGGGGGGGTAACTGGTTTACAATGTTGTGTGTGTTTTAGAGGTACAGGATCTCCCCCTTCAGGTTATTGCTACACCAAATCATCCATAGTCTACCAGCACAGCCCACTGCTCTTCCTCACTGTGCTCTTGCCTCTCCTGCTTCCCTCTGGTAGCCTCAGTCTATAGTCAGATTTCTAGGATTTATTATTTGACTTCATCTGGCCCTTAATCTTGTTTCCTCAATATTCCACATATAAATGACACCATTCAGTACTTTAACCCACCTCTTTCTGATCCAGTTCTCTGTGGACACTTAAGTTGTTTCCATGCCCTCCTATTGTTTTTATATATATATATATATATATATATACACACACACACACACAAGAATTGGGGTACAGGCCACAGGCGCGGGAGGGTGAGAGGATTCACCAGAGACAGAGTGGGGAGCAGAACAGGCAAACGGACTGGAAACTGCTGAGGGGAGCAGCGGGCGAGACAGGAAAGGTCTGCTGCGCCATGTGGGACTCTCTCCCTGGCCGGCCGGGAATTGAACCTGCACTGCAGAGGACAGCTTCACAGTGCTGCACTCAACCTGCTGCGCCACCGGGGAGGCCCATGCCCTTGCTACTGTAAGTAAAGTTGTGACAACTGTGGGTTTGTGACTATGGGTTCATGCCAGCATGCATGCTCCTGATTTATGGAGTGGCAGGTGCTCCCCAAGCATGTTCACCAGCAAGAAATCAGAAATACAGAAACGTAGCTTCTTGCTAATATGGTTTGTGGCTCCATCTGTCTGTCTCCCAACAGCCTCCGCATTGGGGCTGTTTCCCAAGCCCCCTCTGTGGAGGTGAAGATCTGGGACCAGGCTTGGGCTTCACTGCTTCCTCTGGGAGGAACCTGCCTTTGGGGGACTCTGCTGCCTCTTGCCCCTGTAGCCTGGGAAGAACCTTCCTAGCCCTCATTTACCCCCTTCACTGCTCCTCAGGGAGGCCTTTTTTCGACATGACTTTCAGCAGAAAAGCTGTAGCATTTGGCAGAAATCTCAAGACCAAATGTTCCCTTGAACCAGACAGCCTGGAGATACAGTGAGTGAACCCGACTGGGTGACTGGGTGGGGTGGGGACTGTGTCTCCTAGAGGATATATGGCTGCTGCTGGCCAATTACTACCTTTCAGGGGTGGGAGCTCCATGTTGCCAAGCCTTCAGATTTCGGAGAAACTGGAAATCTAGCCTTCCTAGGAAATCTAACTTTTCATTGAATTTTAAAATTAAATACAAAAAAAAAATTAACACAATAAACCAATGACAGTATGTTGTAGGTTAGAGTACTCTTGTCCACCATAAATGAGATGGGAGGTGTTTGCCTGTTCTTCACTACATGACCTTGAGAAAAGCTCTCCACTCCTTTCTGTCTGCTCATTTGTTAGGTGGGAAGGCTATCATTCTGGGCTATACTTCAGGTTTCTGGCAAGAGCATGGAATAAATGGTTTCATGCTTCAACAGTGAGTTGTATGAGGAATAGTGTAAAATGTGGGCTCCTCTTGGTGTTCAGGTGAGCCACTTTGCTGCTGCTGGGCCTGCTCTGACCAGTGATTCAGGTCCCTGCCCGTGCCAGAGACACAGGCTGTACAGGAAGTCAGGCCTCTGCACCCTCCCTAGTGGTGTGGACAGGGGAGGTCATTTCCCTTTCCTGTCTCAATTTTCCATCTGCCAAACGGGAAGGTTGAGACTAGAACGGTCTCTAAGGTCATGCCTGGCTGGGGAGCACGGGAAGGTTGAGACTAGAACGGTCTCTAAGGTCATGCCTGGCTGGGGAGCACATAACAGTGACGGTTCCCTGGTCTTCATACCTGAACCTTGCACTTCACAGGTCTGGGCTGCTCCTCTTAACAAGAGCGCCCTGGCGTCATTTGTGCAAAGCCAGGGTTTGACACTTGGCCTGTTCTAGGGCCTTAGCCTCTGGGTGTACTGGTGTGTACCAGTAGAACCACCAAGAACCTCATAACTATTTAGTGAGCACTTACCGTGTTCCAATCCCTGTACTTGAGACTTTCCTCATTGTAGGAACAGGAAAGGACCATAGTGCAGGTTTTCTGATCCAGCAGACCGGGTAAAGGAGGAGTCAAAGTCCTCAGTGGTTTTGCAGGTCTTTAATTTAGATTTACCAGGCATATGGCAGGCAGGGGTGCAGGGGGGCCGGGAGGCTGGCAGGCCTCCCAGCCCCCAGCAAATCCTCACTCTATCTGGGCTCTCTGGCGTTCTCTCGGCTTCTCTTCTTCTCTCGGCTTCCGTTCGTTCTTGGCTTCTGCTGGTGTCCCCGTGATGCCGCCCTTATAAACTCCGTCCCTCAGCCCAGGTGTACCCACTTCAGGTGCCCGCCATCAGGCATGCATTCAGGACCACAGGGTTCCCTCATCTATCCTAATGGCGGGAGGGCAGAAAAGCCTGATAATTTTTCCTTACTCTACACTCATGCTTTCTTCCTTCTTCTTTTGTCCTCACAGCATCATCATGAGCTAGTAGTAGTATCGCCATTTTCCAGGTGAGGGGACTGAGGTTCAGGGACCTCCAAGTTCTCACTATGGCGAGTAGTGGGACTTAGACACACCTGACTGGAGGAGCCTCATCACCTCTGCATTTTCATCCCTAGATGACACCTACAGCCTAGTATAAGGCCCAATTGCCCAGGATTTCACTGCCTGCCCCTCCCCCACCGGTCAGGGCGTAAGTACACCTTGGTGTTCAACAGCTGCAGGTGGGTGATGGAGTGCCACCTAGTGGTGGTGTTTAAAGATGCATGGGGAAGCTCCCATTTCACTGGACAATGAATTTGGCGGGAGCAGCAATTTCCCAGGCAGAGTGGAAGGTAAGACTATCAAAGGTCAAGTTGAAATTCATGAAGAACCTGCAGTAAAGGACTGCCAAATTGAGGTCAGTGGAGTGGAAAATCTCTGCAACATTTTGAACAGCACAGCAAAATGATGAAAATCCTCATTTCATGAAATTCATCAGTGTGGATTTTTACCATTTGTCATTGCAATGCCCCCTATAGCCCCAGAAGAGAAAGTCTGTTAATCCACATTACACATGGACAAGGTAAGACTGAGAAACCCAGCAGCTTACCCACATGCCCTACAAGGAGGCACTGCTCCTCCTTTCATGGCAAGGGCTTGAGAATGATGGCTGTAATGGAGGTGACTGACGGTCACGGACCCAGCCGAGGGTAGAGTAAGGTAGTGAGTTTGCAAGACAATTATTAGTAAGTACAGCTGCTATTTCTTCACAGGTGTAGAAACAGAAGCTGGGAGAAATGGAGGCACTTATGCCAAGGAAACATAGCTTCTACATGGGAGAAATCATATGAGCCTGGAGATGAAGCTTTTAAGCACTGTCCCTGCTGCTAGCTGAGCAAGCCTCCCTACCAAGCTGCTGGCAGAATGGACGCTTTCCTCCCGCCCTCCTTACTGCATTTACCCTCATGAGCTGGAATGAGTAACTGTAGCCTCCATCAGCCAGCGACACCCAACCCCACGTGACTCTCAGACCCACTCTGCTGTGTGACAATGGGTGAATTTCATACTTTCTCTGAGCTTCAGTTTCCATAATTGGGAAATACAGAGTTTAAGTCAGTTGAGCTCTGAAGGTCTGCTAGTCAGTGTGTTTGTGAATCTAACAACACCAACTCAGGAATTTCTCCCCTGCCAACAATTTAAATTTGATTTTGCCCTTGAATCAGTTACTGAGGTGGAAACTTCTGTTCCTCCCCCTTCATTCCCCTCTCCTTCCCTCTCTCGTTCTCTCTGTCTCTCAATTTTCAGCCTAATTAGGGTTAACTCTGTTATTTAGAGACTTATTATCCAAGCTCATTATAAGTAATTATTCAGTCTGGAGGAGAAGCAGCCACATTTCTAGTTTCATTTGATGCTTACCCAGTTCACTTAATTAGCAATAAGTCTTGGCAAAAGGATGGAATTCACAGGGTCCTGGCTTGGTGGGTGGTTGGGGGAGGCTTGGTGCTGTTCTTGGAAAGATAAACAAGTTGCAGGACAGAGTGGGGGAGGAGAAAGGAGCTGGGCTGCCAGCATCTGGGCTGTGCTCTCTGTCCCTTCCAAGACCACCCTGAGAGGGAGAGGCTGTAGATGACTCAGCTGGAAGGATCCAAGGGCAGGTAGCACTTAGTAAGCACCTGCTGTATGCCAGACACTGGGCACTCATTTCTTACACTTCACCTGTGAGACTTAGGTATTCAAGATAATTTAGATAATTTAAGTCTTAGTATGAGTCCTGCCTCTCTCTTTTCTTCAGGCTTGCAGTAATTGTGATGAGTCATAGAGCAAATTTTTCATTTGATGCTACTATGTTTTTTCACAAAGGGAGGCCTCGAGCTCAGGCTTTGGGCAGGTGACAGTCTAGCTAGAAGCCACTACCTAGAAACCACCATTTTCAGCATTGACTTTATAAAGAGTTTTAATCAATGTTTAGCCAATGCTGTTGACTCCGTGTTCAGACGTGACACACACATTGTAATAAAAAGTGAATTGTCACAGAGACATTTGTGCTAAATGATCAGGGCAGGACCTGAATGGGGATCCTCTGGGAAGAGGAGGGTGAACGCAGATCTGGCCAATGCTCTGGATTATCTGCCCAGGGCAAGCAGGCCCCCGTTCTCTAGTCCCAGACCGTGGGCAGACCCAGTCATCAGACAGGGCCAGATCCTAAAGCCAAATCTACCTCAATCCTCTATTCAGGACTGCAGGCAACCTCTGACCTTTCCCCTCCACTGCAGCTTCCCCTGGCTCCTCTGTCCAGGCCAGGACCACATAGCCCCTTTCTGTCTCTCCTGTTCATCCCCTGGCCCCTTTGGCCCCTCACAGAAGGTCATTTCTCCTCAGTCCCCTCACTGGTCCGCTTGGCCCTGTTTTGCACCCAGTGGTAAACAGAGACCCAAAGGAATGACATCACAGCGGGGTAACAGCAGAGTCCAGGCCATACCGCCCACCCACCCTGGCGTAGCCTGAGGTATCCATCCCGAGTCTGCCTGGCCTTGGGGCCCAGCAGCTGGGGGCCCTTTCCTGGAAGCCCACTCCTGCCCCAGTCACAGCTCCGAGATGTCTGCCCTGTGGCCCATCCGAGAGGCAGCTCTTGGGTGACATTTTTCTCTTTGAAGGAGCCTTCAAGCAACAAGGTTTCTCTACCCACAGTGTTGGTGGCAGGGTGGGGCGAGGGGCCACAGCCGTGTCTCCCACTCTGTGCATCCATTTGCCTAAGGGCCAGGAGTGCACATATGGGGCTCCCTCTGCACAATAGATCCCATGTGATCTCAGGGCCCAAGACCAGCCTGTTAGCCATCCCCAGGGTTTCCAACCCTGTCAGAACAGACTTGATACCAGGAAACTAGGACAAAGACAAAGCGGTTCTGGGGGGAAGGGTCCTGTGAGACCCACTTTATTGGTGCCAGACAACCCCGGAGCAGCTGGCAGCTCAGGCCAGCCTCTTGCTCACACGTTCATAGGTCACATCCCCGATGGTGGAGATCTGAAAGAAGCATCCAGAACAGGAGGAGTTAGTGCAGGGGCCCCAAGCTGCCCACAGACACAGCTGAAGTGGAAGACAGTATGTAGCACTACTTCTCCGGGCCTCGGTTTCTCAATCTGTGGCCTGAGTCACTGTGAGGGCACAACAGGGCCACAGTGCAAACATGTCATGTCATAAACTCCACATCTGTCCCTTGCACTTCACGGGCCAGGGACCTCCCAATGCAATCTCATCAAACCCCAACACAGTAGGACTGCACCATGGTGCAGATGGGAAAACTAAAGCTTGGAGAAGTCACATAACCCAGCTAAGGTGGACTGGCCACACTCAGCCTCTGCACCCCATGGCTTTAGCAGCGCACCGGGGCTGAGTGTGGGAAGCTAGGGTCCCTCCCTTGGGAAGTCATGCTGGTTTGTGGGAGAGGATGCTGGTGGGTGAAGGCCCTTTGTGTGAAGTGCCCAGGCCCAAGGTCATATGACGTGCTGTCACAAGACATGTACATGTCATCAGTGGGTCCTGACACCCCACAGAGGAAAGCAGCAGGCCCAGGGGGAGGGGGTGGGAGACGAGTGGCCTCTGTGAGAGCAGGGACAGTGGGAAGTGCTGCGAGATTGGCGTGGTGGGGGTGGGGGGAGATTGAGTGCAAGCAGGGAGGCAGAAGCAGCAAGAGGCTTTGTCTAGAGGAAGGAGAGGGGCAAGGAACAAGGGGTGCCGGGGATGGGCTGGATGGGGAGGAGGGTGCTGCTGCTGGAGGATGGGGTATCCATGATGATTCTGGGCCTCTGAATGGAAGATTTGCAATCCAGCTGGTTCCACTCTGGTTCTGGCCTGTGTGCATGTGCATTTGTGTGTGTGCATGTGTGTATATGTGTGTGCATGTGTGAGGATGACCCTGAATTCTGGGTGCTGCACACAGGCTCCCTATTCAAGAGCCTCTAGGAATTAGGAAACAGGTTCGCTCAGCTTGGAGACATCAATTCTGTCTGGCACAAACCTTCTTCCAGTGCGCCTGCCCTGTGTTCACCCTGCACTCCTGACCAGCTAGAGAGCTCTGCTTCTGGGAGTCAGAACCCACTGGCTGACGTTTCATGTAAAAATGTGTCCAAAACTTTTATCAGAATTTTTCAGGCAGGTCCCAGGAGCCAGTGTGACACTCACCTCCACCAGCTTGCCATCCACGATCTCCGAGGTCTGGTGGTAGTTGGGGAAGTCCACTACCACCTTCCCACCCTCCATCTGCACAGTGGCCTGGAAGAGAAGGTGACCCTCAGCCTGAGCCAGCACAGGCCCCCAGGGACCTGCCAACCCCCTCAGGGATGAAGAGCTGCCTATGGCCTCAGCTACCCCCTAGAGAATGACCGTCCTTATAGATACACAGCCACACAAATCTAAAGTGTGTTAACCCCATAAGCATGTAAGCTTGCTGCACCTCAGGTTTCTCACCCCTAAAGCGTGGGTGGTAATTGTACCTTCTCCTTACAGTTACCAGGGGAGTAAAGGCTTGCACAGGGAAACGCAGAGTGCTGGCATGTGAGCCCTCCCCAGCGTGAACTAGGGACTTGGTTTTGACCGTCATCGCTAGACTGATGTGCTGTCCTGCCAGGGTGTGACTGCAGCCACTGAAAGACCCCCAGGTGCTGAGACAGGGAGACATCTGCGTGAGATCATTATGCTGTTTCAATACCCAAGTGTCAGAATAGCCATATATAGTAGTTTGACTACTGATTTTCCACCTTGGCAGTGCAAGGAGAAAAGTCCCCTCGTGATCATGGCTGGAGGCTGCAGGTGACCAGGATGGGTGAATGACCAGAGGGACCCATCTGGGTAAGGTGGGGACAAATAGCCAGTCTGTCACATCTGTGCTCCCCAAGACTGCAGTTTCAAACCCAGACGGGTATGAGTCTAGGTTATGGGCTATTCATTTCTAGGTGACATAAACAAGAGGAGGGGCTTCTGGATCGAGGCCAATTGGGTGAAGTCCTGATCCTGCAGGGTGATTAGTCTCAGCCCTAATCAGCAGAAAGCTCTGCTGATACCCCCATCTGTAAAATACAATACAATACCCCCATCTGTAAAATGGGGTAGTGATCACCTGCCTTAAGATGTGTGAAGCATTCAGTGAAGTGTCTGGGATATCAATGTTAATAACCATTTTCACTATCCCACTGTTCATTATTGACCATAGCATTAAAACCCAGGGGTGCTGAATTGCCAAGGGCTTACGTTCTTAATACCAGAGATGGAGTCTTAGCATGGGTGCAGGAGATCTGGGGAAGGAGTGCAGGGCACCAGCAGACTTTACCTTGAACTTCTTGCCCCCCATGGTCTCCATGTCACACTCCTTGCCGATGATGAACTTGTTGACCATTGAGTGACCCCCGGGGTAGTGCTGGGACCAGGTGAAATTCTGGCCGTCCTGCTGCACCTCCGTGACGATCTTGAAGTTGCGACCCTTTTCAATGGCATCTCTGGGGAGCCCTGTTTCCCGGGACAAGCAGAGAAGCCTTGCAAGAGCTGCTTCCAGCCTGTGGTTTTGGGCAAAACCTCACCTCCCTCTCTGCAGGTTAGCCTGACAGTTATAAGCACCTACCATGAGCCCATGTGGCTCAGGCAAGTTTGTGCTTCACCAGCCTCAGTGTTTTCTTCTGCAAAATGGGGTAATAAAGCCCACTTGACCAGGTCCTTGCAAGGATTCAGTTGGACCGTATGAAGCTCTTGTCACATAGTGAACACTTAGTCAATAATAGCTGCCCTTCTGGGAGTAATAGAACATAAGTGTAACAGAAACTGGCCAAGTTTTGGATTAAATGGACCCTCCAAGACTGCCTTTTAATGCTCTCATTTTTGCTGAAAAGGGAGCAAAGACCCAGAGCAGAAAAATGTTCCCCAGTGTGTCATGGAGCTGGTGGCAGAACTTGCTCTGGAACTGTGGCGCCCACTCCAAGTGCTGCACTAGATTACAGGTGGAGGCAAGTCAGGTTCCTGCAGGGCCACTCCCCCAAAGTGACAGAAGCATCCTTGCTCCCCAAGGCCCAGTGCACTTGGTCATGCTCTCTGACCCTGAGGAGGTGGGTGTGTGGGTGCAGGTCTCCTGGGACTCAGAGCACTGATTCCTGCAGGATTGTCAAGTGCCTGGTTCCTCAAAACCAGTGTTGCAAACAGAGCAGTAAGAGGCATGAGATCTTTCATCTTCTGCCCCTGCTGCCTGGCACAGGAAGAGGCCCTTGTTTGTTGAAAAATTGAATGTATGACTGGCATGCAAACCCAGCCTCTAGACTTAATCCTTTGGTTACACTCCCCAAGCAACAGGGAGTGGCACCATTCATCATCCTATTGTAGGTCCTGGATTCCAGTCACCTCTGCCACTGACTGATGTGTGACCTTGGGCATATCATGCTGGGACATCCCATTAGTGACATGGGGTGGGCCCTTTCATACAGCAGGTCTTCTATCATTCGTGGCATAAATAAATCAATCAAGCCTCCACTTCACCATTGACTAGCTGTGTGACCTTGGACTAGTAACACAACTTCTCTGGGCCTCAAGTTTTCCATAGTAAAGCAGAGATGTTCTGTTTTCAAGTCAGAGCCTTATCCACAGAACCTGGAAAGACTACTTAGTTGCTCAACAAATGAGGGAGCGAATAAATGAATAACTAAAGTCCTGTCTTGTTGTACCCCAAGAGTTTGGGTTCCTGGCCCCAAATGAGCTAAGACAAAGCCCCACAGAGGTGTGCTCAGGGCTTACTCACCCAGGCGCTTCATGAACTCATCGTAATTCTTGTCACTCTCCACCTCATACTTGCCGTTGAAGGCCATGCTGCTGGAGACTCGGGCTGAGTGCAGAGGTGAGGAAGGTGGCTATGCTGCTGAGGGGCCTAGTGCTCCAGCTTATAAACTGTCCTGGATGCTCAGGTTCAACCCCCAAGTCACCCCACTCCTGCCTCCACCCCTGAAGAGGAAGCACTGCTGTTTTATGATATGGGCAGGACCCAGAGGGGCAGAGCCTGAGGTTGTTCACCCTAGAGGAGGGTTGGCTGTGATCCCAGCACCAGGCCCAGCAAGGCGAGGGCCAGGATTTCAGAGGGTGAGGGGTCATCCACCTCCACCCATTCCTTTCTCCCTCCCACCAAGCACAGGCTCCAACCACAGTCTCATCATCCCTCCATCACCCCTCATCCATTGGCCAAAGTGCATGAACTGTAGGCAGGAAGACAAGACTAAGACCTAGACCCTTCCCAAGACAGCTTGAGATCAAGCCAGAGAAAAAATGCACACCTGCAGAGAAGCAGGACCCAGCTCAGAGAAGCAGGTACCATCATGCATTGAAGATCGTGCATGAATTTTACTTGGAGCCTCACAATGGAGGAACTAGGGGGTCAGACCCCCAACTTCCAGTCCCTGCTTTGTCCTCCAGCTCCACTTCAGTCTCCTCCATCATAGTTCCTGCCTGTCTCATTGGAATTGTTCTTCAGGTGGAAAAGACATGTCTTCAGTTCTGTCTTCTTTTCCAGAGTCAGTTCTTAGTGACTCATTGTTTCCATCCAAAGCAGAACTCTCCACCATTGCTGAGCCACAGACCAGAGACTAAGTGGCTATGAAACAGATGAAAACAACTTTGCTGCATTTTGCCAGTGTCGGTCTCCACTCTTGGAAACCTTACTCCAGCCAGGGGTCTTATTTCTTATAAAACTATAAACACTTCCATTTAACAAAACTACACACACCCTCAGAGTTGTGGGGTTTTGTGATGATAAATTCTATATATTAGGGGCCTCCCTGGTGGCGCAAGGGGTTAAGATGCAACCTATGAAGCTAACGGCAGCCTCTGCGGCAAGAGTTTGATCCCCGGTCAAGAAGCAACCCACATGGCGCAGCAGACCTCTCCTGGCTCACCCACTGCTCCCCTCAGCAGCGTATTTCAGTAGCTCTGCCTGTTCTGCTCCCCACTCTGTCTCTGGTGAATCCTCTCACCGCCCGTACCTCTACTGTACCCAGTACTTGTAGGCATAAATAAATAAATAAATCTTTAAAAAAAATTTCTATATATTAAAATTCCAAATTGAGGGCCTCCCCTGGTGGCGCAGCGGTTGAGCGCTGGGCTGCGAAGCTTCCCGCAGCCTCTGCAGCGCTGGTTCGATCCCCGGACGCCGGGTGAGGGTCCCACATGGCGCGCAGACCTCTCCTGCCGCCCGCTGCTCCCTTCAGCAGTGTACTTCGTCTGTCTGCCTGTTCTGTTCCCCACTCTGGCTCTGGTGAATTCTCTTACCCTCCCGCGCTTCTGACTGTACCAAGTGCTTGTATAAATAAATAAATAAATCTTAAAATAAATAAATAAAAAAATAAATAAAAATCTTAAATAAATAAATAAAACCATGTAAACTATCCATTCTGTTTTTCTTCACTCACATTAGTTTCTTCCTCCTACTATTTTTAATCATTATTGATCAAGAGAAACTATTTCTCAGTCAAATATCCAGGTTTTCTAGTTCAGGAACAGAGATTAGTGACAAGCTTGACAATGGAAGTCAAGCCTAAGAAATTCTTTCTGTTCCCAGACCACTTTGCACTCTGAAATCTCCCAGACCCCCTTATTTCCTCAACATCTCTCATGGAATCATTTTTTTTTTAAGATTTATTTATGCCTAGAAGAACTGGGGTGCAGGTCAGAGATGCTGGGCGTGAGAGGATTCACTAGAGACAGAGTGGGGAGCAGAACAGGAGATTTACTGAAATACACTGCTAAGGGGAACAGTGGGAAAGATAGGACAGGTCAGCTGCGCCATGTGGGCCAGCTCCCTGGCCAGGGATCAAACTCAGGCCGTGGCTGTGACAGCACTGAGACAACCCGTAGGCCACCAGGGAGGCCCTCTCATGGAATCATTTCTATAGAAATCTGCCTATGCCTTCTTTCTTGGTTCTGCCACTGCAAACTTACAGAAAACTGCCACCCCCAGGATTACAATGAATGTGCTAGCAATATGAAATTGCAGGCATTTGGCCAGGAGACCTGGTGTCTGACTTTTCCACAAAGCATAGGAGGCTTAGTTGTTATTCATGTCAACATGCACGTCCCTCCAGACGGGAGGAGAAATGGAGAGCTCACATTAGCTCGTAAGCCCAGGGCCATGTTTCCATAAAGCTGTCCCACTTATTCTTGGAAAGGGCTGCCTAATATCTGCTGCTGGACTTTTCGGGGGATCCCAGCTCACCCCATTAAATGCAAGGCCTTCTGTCAGCTTCTTTACATGTAGAGAATTTGATGTTGTGTTTTTTTTTTTTTAAATAATAAATTTTATTTTTATATTCCCCATACAATTGCAGCCCCCCCATTCTGGCCCCAATCCCTCCCCTCCTGATGTTGTGTTTTAAAGTATCTTCTTGAGGTGAAGCCTCAGAGTAAGATTACCAAGTTAAGGGGCCTGGAACAAACTTAAAGTTCTTAAGATGTTTTGCCAAGTTGGGGCTGAACTGCTTACCTGAATGTCCTGGGACTCACGCTTTCAAACATTTTGCTGCTTTCCCCAGACCTCCGTCCCCAGCATCACAAACTGTGCTATCTCGAGAATCTACTTCTTTCCCTTTGAATAACATTTAGAGAGGAAAGGGACTTTTAACCTTGTGGTTATAAAAGTAATAGATGTAGGGCCTCCCCTGGTGGTGCAGGCCGTTGAGCGCAGCGCTCAGAAGCTGTCTGTAGCCTCTGCAGCGCCTGTTTGATCCCTGCCGGCCAGCGAGGGTCCCACATGGCGAGCAGACCTCTCCTGTTTCGCCCGCTGCTCCCCTCAGCTGTGTGCCTGTTTCTTCAGTCTGCCTGTTTTGCTCCCAGCTCTGTCTCCGGTGAATCCTCTCACCCTCCCGCGAATCTGGCCTGTACCCCGGTTCTTGTATAAATAAATAAATAAATAAATAAATAAATAAATAAATAAATAAATAAATAAATAAATAAATAAATAAATCTTTGGAAAAAAAAGTAATAGATGTTCATAGTAGAAATTTGGGGCGGTGCAGAGCACAAATAAACAGAAAGCATCCTGCCATCCCACCCAAGGGATGTATTTTTGAAGTGTAAATTGAATACACACTTGTTGTTTAAAAAGACAAAAGCGAGGAAAACATGACAGTCCCACATCTCATTGCCCAGAGCCGGCTATTGTTAGGTCACCAGAGAATCCCTGCATGGTCCCATGAGCACACAGAAAACCGGTGTGCATATCCGCTTTTTCCATTCTTCTAACAAAAAAGAAATCCAAGGATAGTTTTGTCTTGCTTTTCCCCCCTACTTAATAGTATAACAGGGACATGATGTATCTTATTTCTTCCTGGGAACTGAAAAATTATACCCTTATTAGAAGGGACTTTCCAAATGGACAAATCCATGAACAGGATACACTATGTCACTCTGCTCTTGGCATGGGCACACAGTTGAGCATCTGGTTTCTTTCTGTAAATCTTGGTGGAAAATAATTTAATAGCAGTGATTGGGAGATTAGTTAGATACATGGAGACAGAGTGTAGGTAAGCTGAAGAGGCTGGGGCGGTAAGGGGCGGAGAAGCATGGTGCTATCCTGGAGTCCCTGGGGTCTCCAGTCTTGGGGGACAGGTACACTTTGTAGAATCCCACCTTCATGTCTGGAATGACTGTTCACCATGCGTCTGTCTTTCCAACTTCAAAATGTTCTTCCAACTCCACTTCCTCCAGGGAGCCTTCTCTGATTACTGTAACCTATAGATTGTCCCTTGCAGGAATCCCTATGATGTGAAGCATCTGTTTGTAATGGCAGGGATAGAGAGTGGGAAAGCTGGAATTTACAGTCCCATATATTGGTCTTCCTGTGTTCGCACTGCCGCTTCAGACACACAATCTTTATTCATTCAACAAACATTAGCTGAGCACCTACTGTGTGCTAGGCTCTTAAACTAGCCAGTTTCTGTCCTCGAGTTTTAGAGACCCAGACTAGTAAACAGGCAATCACAACACAGTGTGATAAATGAGAAAAAGGTAGCATCAGGACGTTGTAAAGAAACAGAGATCACCCTGCCCACCTCCTAAGGGTCAAATTGATGACAGAGCAATTGATGAGTAAGCCAGCCTTAACTAACTCATTATAATATGGGGATAAAAAATACCTACCTCCCAGGGTGTTAATGAGATTATTGAGAGGGTATAAATATAGTGCTTAACACAGGAACTGGTATTTCGTGGGAGCTCAGTGGATGATACTATCATTCGTATACATTGGTCATTTGTCCTGCCTAACTACCCATTGATTGTATTACTAATTATTTAAGATAGTATTAATTTCATTCTTCACAAAGTGTGTCCTTTGTCTCCCAGTTAGATTGTCACCCCTCCAAGGAGAGAGGACCTGGTCGGTGCTAGGATACCATTGATTTCATTTTATTGGATCCGTCTAGAATAGTAGTGAGGCTGTGATCTTCACCACAGATTGCTGAGGGGGGCAGGAGAGGAAGGCTTGTGAAAAGTGGAAATCCCTGAACCCTGACCCCCAGAAATTCTGATTTGGCAGGTCTCAGTGGGACCCTGGAATCTGCATTTGACAAACTTCTCAGGGGTCGTATGCATAGGGGATGTGAATAATGCATAAGAGCTGGCAGGATGGGCAGTGATCTCCCCAGGCCCCCACTGAGCCTCTTCCCCATTGACTTCTTTCTGTACACTCAAAGCAGTTTTCTCCTCCAAGGTCAGTGTCAACAGCAGCATAAGTATGGTAGGCTGTGGGATGGACACCATTGACACCTGGATACCTGACTCAGCTGTGCCCATCTCCCCTTCACTGTGGTCTGGAGGGCATCTGACCCTTTACCCTCCTCCACCCAT